TCACATCATCTGGTCAAGTTAACACTATTCACTTTAGCATTCTTTGAAGTTTGAAGATCCTCTTTAGGGTTTTTTTTTTTTTTTTTAATAAAAAATTTCGAGAAGAAGAAACTTGAGTATAAAACTCCAATTTTAAGTGTTTGATTACTTTTTGTATTGAAATGGTTAATAAACCACTACATGTTGGACAAGACCTTGTTTAGGTACCATGTTCAAAAAGTTTAAATATCGTTTCTCACGTTTGGAGCAACTAGCAAATCATCACTTGAGTGTTAGCGGGTACACTATGTCGGGTTGTCATCTAGTCAACACTATTTACTTCAGCATTCTTTGAAGTTAGAAGATCCTATTTAGGTTTAGCATATTCAGAAAGGTAAAATATCATTCCTCACATTTGGAGCAAGTAGTATAAATTACTGGACTGTTAGTGGAAATATTATTTTGGATTGTATGTCTTATTTTTTAGAAAATTTTTTCTTATCCCTTTAAGTACTGTAGGTATGATTGTAAATTGTTAAAAAAAAATAAAATATCATCAATTGATAGTGTTAAAAGCAATGAGATAGCTTATTGGACTTCTAATGGTGTGAAGTTGAGTTTTAGACTTGATATTTTTTTATTTTTTTAAAAATAAATATTAATATTATTAATATAATTGTCAGTTAAGAGAGAAAAAAAAAAAAAAAAAGAAAAACGCAATGAGATAACTTGCAAAAGCGAGACGGAATATAATGGAAAAAAGAGATGAGAGAGATTTTAGTTCTACATGTAAGTTTGTAAGCTAAATGTTGTCATGCAGCTAAATGCAATGTGCATGAGAGTGCTTTGGTGATGACAAGTGTGTGGTGGTTGAACTAAATGACAACATTATGAGTAAATGTCTAATTTATGGCAAAGTTCAAAGCTTTATTTAGGTTCCTTATGTTTAGTTCAACTAAGACTTTTGGGAAGGACACGAAAGTGGATGAAATATATATTACTTTATATTTTTTTCAATGCAATGAGAATTTTGATTACACTTTAAGTTTTTATATGATATCTTTATTCAATAAATAGTTAATATTTTAATATATTTAATTAAGTACATTATTATAAAAATTATATCATGATATAAAAAATCTTTATTAAAACAAAAGAATTTCATAATCAAGATCTCAATATCATTTATCTTTAGCATTATGCCAAAGCCTTTTTGGCCTTCCAATAATTTTAGTTTGTTTAAAAAACTATAATAGAGATTTGTAATATAAATACCACAAAGCTTCTCATTCTCCTTTTGTCATTGAAGCCATGAGTGAGCTTAAGAAGCCTATGTTTTCTACTCTTCTTCTGTGTCTTCTTTACCTTCCCCTCCTAGTTTCTGCAGAATGTTCCTGTGAAACTGAACTCCAAGATAACAGCAGCAACAACAAGAGCAAAGCTTTGAGATACAAACTTGCTGCAATTTCATCAATCTTGATAGCCGGTGCCCTTGGCATTTCTGTGCCGATATTAGGCAGGAAAATCCCTAGTTTCCAACCCAAAAACAATATCTTCTTCATTATCAAAGCTTTTGCAGCTGGTGTGATTCTCTCCACTGGTTTCGTACACATTCTTCCTGATGCATTTGAATCCTTGACTAGCCCTTGCCTCAGCGAAAGGCCTTGGGCTGATTTTCCCTTTACGGGGTTGGTGGCTATGGTTTCTGCAATAGGAACGATGATGATTGATTCATTTGCCACAAGTTTTTACAAAAGATCTCATTCCAGCAAAGCTTTGCCAGTGAATGCTGATGAGGAGATCGGGGGAAAGCATGAGGGGAATGTTCATGTTCATACGCATGCAACCCATGGACATGCTCATGGGACTAGTTTTGCATCAGAAGATTCTAGACTATCTGAGCTTATAAAGCACCGTGTTATATCACAGGTTAATTGGAATTGAGCACACTCTGTTTTCTCTCTGTTTCACATTCCCTATTGCCCAGTTTTCTCGCTCTGGTATTCCTCTGTTTCTTTCCTATTCTTTCCAATGTTCAATGCTTATTGGAGGTGTTGGTGTAGGTCTTGGAGTTGGGGATTGTGGTTCATTCAGTGATAATTGGGATCTCCTTGGGTGCTTCTCAAAGTGCCAAGACAATCAAGCCTCTTGTAGCAGCACTTACTTTCCATCAATTCTTTGAAGGCATGGGTCTTGGCGGATGCATCTCTCAGGTAAATAAATAGTTGTACTGCAGGGCCCAAGTGAATTTTAATAATGGTAAGATTGAATATATTGAGTCAATGAAAAGAAGGCATAGCGTCAACAATGTGGTCATTGTGCTTGATTCATACATTGCTTTCGTTTCTCCACCAGTTTGAAGGAGAACTATGATCTGACATGGTGATTTGTTGCAGGCAAATTTCAAAAGCACTGCAATTGTAGTGATGACGCTGTTCTTCTCCCTGACTACCCCAATGGGAATTGCAGTTGGGATTGGAATATCAAAGATTTATAATGAGAATAGCTCAAGAGCTCTGATTGTGGAAGGGGTGTTTAACTCTGCTTCAGCTGGGACCTTGATTTACATGGCACTTGTTGACTTTCTTGCCGCAGATTTCATGAACCCAAGAATGCAGGGCAGTCTGAGGTTGCAGCTTGGCTCTTATCTTTTACTTCTTCTTGGAGCAGGATGCATGTCACTCTTGGCCAAATGGGCTTGACTACATGGTGTGACTAGTGCCACAATTCAAAGTTTTTACTAATCCCTTATTTTTCCTCCTTTTTCTTTATATTTTTTATTTGTGGTGAAAAGTGGAAATCTTGGCCTTATCGCTATGTATCAATTTTTTTCCTTGAAATGCTTCAATCTACTTACCGATGTTAGGATTAAGGATTTGAGTCCAAAATTTCTTATAAAATTTTTTATGGGACAAATCACTAGTTAAAATCCCCATGAGAGAGAGGTGGGGAGGGAAAAGAGAATTCAAACCCTATTCATATGAGTGAGAAAGCATCTTTATATTAATAATTTAGTTAGTTGCTTTGCAAGCCTTCCTCAAGTTTACAATGAATCAAGAGCTTGCTAGATCATGTTGCTAGTTTTGGGACGGATAATGAATTTTCCAATGCTATCTATATAATTATGTGTTCTCTCCGCTCTGGGGTAACTGCGGGCAGCCATAATTTATGAGACGATATTAAATTAAATTTCAAGTATCTTCAATGAGAAGAAGATAAATTTGAAAACGAAAAAAATATATACCTTTTGTATGGATAATGAAATGTACATAATCAATCTATTTATATAGATATATATATTTTGTAACTTTTATATGTATTTAAATAAATATATACACACAATATTATAAATATTTATAGAGTACAAAGAGTAAATTAATAAATAATATATATAAAGTTGTGAGAAAAACTATAAACAAAGATTATCCCTAAATCTTTTTTTTTTTTTTTTTTTGATTTTCCATTCT